ATGCTTTTTAACCCCTTTTTTTTTTTTTCAGAATATTCATCAATCTCTACTACCAAACAGTCAATCATAGGGCCAGGTGCTGTGGGTGGTGGCATAGGGTGGTCACACCTGTAATCCCCAGCACTTTGGGGAGCCGAGACGGGCAGATCCACCTGAGATCAGGAGTTTGACACCAGCCTGACCAACATGGTGAAACCCTGTCTCTACTAAAAATACAAAATTAGTGGGGGCGTGGTTTGCTGCGATGCCCATATAATCCCAGCTAGTCAGGAGGGCTGAGGCAGGAGAATTGCCTAGATGCCAGGAGGCGAACGGTTGCGGTGAGCCGAGATCACACATTGCACTCGCAGCCTGTTCTGTTTCTGGTGTAACTAGGTGATAATAATACCTACCTCAGAAGACCCTTGAGGATATTAAACGAGCTTATGCATGTAAAGACCTCTCTCTGTCTGCCAAGTGCCTGACATGTAGTTAGTGCTCAGTAAATGTTAGTTATTCTACTTTCTAAATAGCATTTCAAGATTCTGTTGCATCAACTCCGTGCTCCCAAGCCCACTTAGCAGTTCTTCCCATTTCTAGTTTTTAGCTATAATATTACACGTCTTTATATAAGTTGGTGGGTTTTAAAAATTTTCCCTGGTGGTTTTTGTTTTTGTTTTTGTTTGAGACGGAGTCTGGCTCTGTTGCCCAGGCTGGAGTGCAGTGGCATAATCTCAGCTCACTGCAATCTCTGCCTCCTGGGTTCAACCAATTCTCCTACCTCAGCCTCCCGAGTAGCTGGAATTACAGGTACCCACCACCACACCTGGCTAATTTTTGTAATTTTAGTAGAGACGGGGTTTCACCATGTTGGCAAGGCTGGTCTCGAACTCCTGACCTCAAGCTATCCGCCCTCCTCGGCCTCCCAAAGTGCTGGGATTACAGACGTAAGCCACTGCGCCCAGCCTTCCCTGATTTTTTCGATGTGGAAACTGAAGACTGGAGAAGTGAAATAACTTGTCAAACAACGATCATATGCTTTTAGTGTTAGAGCCAAGCCTAGGAACCAGGGCCCAGTACTCTGAGCCTTGGTCTCTTGTTGTCACCCTGCCAGCCCCCAGACTCACTGGAGACTTGAAGGCAGGTCCTTCCTGGCTTCTGTTCACCAGGCTGAATTATTCGGATCTCCCATTGTGTCCTCTGACATCTCCTCTCTCTTTCATCACCCTGGAGGTCCCTCATCAATTCAGCATAATTGGATCAGCATCCCTGCTGGTCCCTGGGGAGTGGGAGCAGATGATGACTAATGCTTTAGAGACCTGGACTCCACCCTCAGCACCTCTGGATCTCTGTTGGTTGATGTTGTGCAGTCAGACGGGGACGGGGATCCTGTCTGACTCAGGATCCCTCTCTCCTACCTGGAGCACTGTCTGATTTCATTGAATACACCCTCCTAGAACAGTAGAGCCTAGAGAGACCCTAGAGATTGGCTGGGTGCAGTGGCTCATGCCTGTAATCCCAGAACTTTGGAAGGCCAAGTCAGGTGGACCGCTTGAGGTCAGGAGGTCAAGACCCGCCTGCCCAATATGTCGAAACCCCGACTTTCTACTAAAAATACAAAAGTTAGGCAGGTGTGGGGCCGCACACCTGTAATCCCAAATACTCGGGAGGCTGAGGCAGGAGAATCACTTGAACTCGGGAGGCAGAGGTTGCAGTGAGTGGAAATCTTGTCACTACACTCCAGCCTGGGCAACAGAGTGAGACTCCATCTAAAAAAAAACAAAAACAAAAACAGAGAGAGCCCCCAGCCCCAGCCCCTGTTATTTAAAAAATGAGGAAACTGAGGCTCAGTGGTGCAGGTTGATCTGTGGCAGATGTGGGGCTGGGACCCAAACCTCCTGACTCCAATGTGCTGTTGGGAAGAAGGCACTGGAGCCGGGCAGGTGAACCCAGGCAAGGGAGTGAAACAACCCTCGATTTCCTGTTGTGTGAGTTAGCTGTGCTCAGCTCAGGGAGGTGATAAGCATTAAATGAGATAACTGTTGTAGACCACGGAGTGCTGTGCTCAATAAACGATAGTTATTACTTACTAGAGCACAGTCATAAAGAGGCCAGCTGGGCTTTGGAGTCAAAAAGCTATTCTATTCAAATCCTAGTTAAACACTTACTAGCTGTGATTTGGGACAACTTATCTAACAAGAGCTAATACTTACTGAATTTCACTTGTTCCCAGCATTAAGCTAAGTGCCTTAGAGATATTATTTCATGTAATTTTACTAACAGCTTTCTGATGTAGGTACTATCAGTATCCTGATTTTAGGATTGAAGCTACTGAGGCATGAGTCATTTTCACTTCAGCAGCCTATTTTTTTTTTTTTTTTTGAGACAGTCATGCTCTGTTGCGGGCTGGAGTGCAATGGCATGGTCTCGGCTCACTGCAACCTCCACCTCCCAGGTTCAAGTGATTCTCCTGCCTCAGCTTCCCTGAGAGCCTGGGGACTATAGGGGCATGCCACCACACTCGGTAATTTTCTGTATTTTTAGTAGAGATGAGGTTTCGCATGTTGGCCCAGGCTCGGTCTTGAACCCCTGACCTCGTGATCTGCCCGCCTTGGCCTCCCAAAGTGCTGGGATTACAGGCGTGAGGCCACCACTCACAGCCAGCAGCCTATTTTTCTCTGATTATCCTCTAGCTTCCATTCTTTTCTGCCATGCATACCTATCTTCTCCCAGTGCTTGAGGATTCTCTCCCTGCTTTTGAGCTTTGGAATAGGCCATAGTGTCTCTCTCTCTCTCTCTCTCTCTTTTTGAAACAGGGTCTCACTCTGTCACCCAGGCTGCAGTGCAGTGGCAAGATCACAGCTCACTGCAGCCTTAAACCTCTTGGGGCTCAAGCAATCATCCCACCCAGCCCCCTGAGTAGCTGGGACTACAGGGGTGTGCCACCACACCCAGGGCCAATGTTTTTTTTCTTTTTTTTTTTTTTTTTTTTTGTAGAGACAGGATTTTGCCATGTTGCTCAGGGGCTGGTCTCCAACTCCTGGGCTCAAGTGGATCCCACCTCAGCCTCCCAAAGTGCTGGGATTACAGGCATATTTTTGCACAGCTCATTTTTACTTACACTCCTTTTTTTTTTTTTTTTTTTTTGAGACGGAGTCGCGCTCTGTCGCCCAGGCTGGCGGATCTCAGCTCACTGGCAAGCTCCGCCTCCGCAGGTTTACGCCATCTCCTGCCTCAACCTCCCGAGTAGCTGGGACTACAGGCGCCGCCACCTCACCCGGCTAGTTTTTTGTATTTTTTTTAGTAGGATCGGCGTTTCGCCCATTGTTAGCCAGGATGGTCTCGATCCCTGACCTCGGTGATCCACCCGTCTCGCCTCCAAATGCGGGATTAGCAGGCTTGAGCCCACCGGCACCTGGCCCTTACACCTCTTGTTAAGAGACAGGGTCTCTCTCTGTTGCCCAGGCTGGAGTGCAGTGGTGCAATCACAGTGTAGCAGAACCAGCCGCAGACAAAACTCCTTAGACACCGAGTTAAAGAAGGAAGGGGTTTATTTGGCTGGGAACATCGGAAAGACTCCTTCCTGTCTCAAGAGCTGAGCTCCCTGAGTGAGCAATTCCTGTCCCTTTTAAGGGCTGACAACTCTAAGGAGGTCTGCATGTGATGGATTGAGCAAGCAGAGGGTATGTGACGGGGCTGCATGCACCGGTGGTCAGAGTGAAACAGAACAGACCAAGAAGTTTCACAATGTCTTTTCTATAGAATGTCTGGAATCTATAGGTAACATAACCGGTTAGGTCAGGGGTCGATCTTTAACTACTAGGATTAGATCAGGCAGGCCCAGGTCTGGTTTCAGGTCTGGTTCCTTGGTTTCAGGTCTGGTTCCTAGACGCCAGGCTACCTGCCTTTAGTTTCACTTCTCTTTCCTTTTCTGAGTATAAAACAATATAAAACAATATGAGAGGGTCTGTCTCTCTTCTCTCATTTCCCCCCTTTGAGACTCTCACTTTTTATTAGTGGGAGTTCTCACTCTTATTTTCGCTACTTATGTCTTCCTGTGCCATAGATCGATAATGATTCATATAGTACACTTGTGCTGATACATAACATGAAGTGACATTGAGAGACTGGGCTATATGCTCGGCTAATTGCAAAAACCAATTTCTTGTTTTTCCTGGAATTTCTGGTACTGGCACATTCAGTTCATCATAGAAGGTTTGAAATACTCGCTCAGGAGAGTGTTTAAATATTTTTCTCAAACCACGATATTTACTTGAAGATTGAGTCCAGCTCCATCAATTTTTAGGGTTATACGTTCTCTTTTTTCTAGCGAGGATTAAGGGGATTGGTTATTACTAGTTCTAAGGGGTTACACTGACCACTAGTAGAGGAAGGGCCACTTTTCCTTTGCTGAAGGTGGACAGGATTTTTTCATTTTTTTTTATTCAAGTAACCTAAATGACACAAGACCAGTATCTACATTTATTTTCACATAGTCTTAATTCATGATAAATAAACTTATTTTTTTGTCATATAGTCTCTTTTCTAATCACTGAAGCCTTGAACTTTTGGGCTCAGGTGATCCTCCCACCTCAGCCTCTTGAGTAGCTAAGACTATAGGCATGCACCACTACATCCAGCTTTTTTTTTTTTTTTTTTGATAGAGATAGGGTCTCGCTATGTTGCCCAGGCTGGCCTGGAACTCCTGGCTTCAAGCAATCCTCCAGCCTCAGCCTCCACAAGTGCTGGGATTACAGGCATGAGCCTCCTGTCCTGCCTGCAGTCTCTTAAATGCCCTTTCACCCCTTCTCTCCACCAAGTCTGTTCTTCCCCTCTGTTCCAGCGTTGCTGCTGACTCTCCTCTAAGGAACCTTCCCTGTACGCCTGTGCAAGCTCCTCCAGCATCCTCTCCCTCCTGCCTGCTGAAAGCAGCTGGATCTATTCCTCAGGTTTGTTAGCTTTACTTCTCTTCTGTGTATCACCTATCAGGCCTCACTGTGCACCCTGGTTCCCTCTTAACACAGAAGACTTCCTAAGGAACACATCTCCCCGGCCAATTCAATTCAGTCAACATGGCTTGCACATGCTAATTTGACTGAGTAGAGGATTCTAGGTACAAATTCCTATTTTTTTCCCCTCAGAATATTGAAGACCTCACTCCTTTGTCTTCTAGCATGCAGTTCTGTCGGTTAAAGATCTGATGCAGTCTGTGTCTCAGTCCTTTATTTCTGGAAACTTTGATGGCTGACTTTTATCCTTTTTTTGGCGGGGGGTGGGGAGCAGACTGTCGCTTGATTCCCCCAGGCTGGAGTGCAGAGGTGCAATCTTGGCTCACTGCAACCTCCACCATCCGGGTTCAAGTGATTCTCCTGCTTCAGCCTCCTGAGTAGCTGGGAGTACAGGCACCTGCCACCACGCCCAGATGATTTTTGTATTTTTAGTAGAGATTGGGTTTCACCATGTTGGCCAGGCTGGTCTCAAACTCCTGACCTCAGGGGATCTGCCTGCCTCACCCTCCCAAAGTGCTGGGATTACAGGTGTGAGCCACCTAGCCCAGTCCCTTTATCCTTAAAGGTCAGATACTTCACCAGTATGGGTACCTAGATATACATCTCTTTTGCACTGGAAGACTTTTAGAAATAGAAGATTTGGGCCAGGCGCAGTGGCTCACACCATAATCCCAGCACTTTTGGGAGGCCGAGGTGGATCATGAGGTCAAGAGATCGAGACCATCCTGGCCAACATGGCGAAACCCTGACTCTACTAAAAATACAAAAATTAGCTGGGCATGGCTTGTGCCTGTAATCCCAGCTACTCGGGAGGCTGAGGTAGGAGAATCACTTGAACCTGGGAGGCGGAGGTTGCAGTAAGCAGAGATTGTGCCATTGTATTCCAGCCTGGGCAATGAGAGCGAAACTTCATCTCAAAAAATAAAAAAGAATGGGTCTGTTATAGAAGCCATTGTGGCCATTTCTAGTGAGCACTCTCACCATATGATAGCTCTGCACCACCTTGGGACTCTGCAGAGGGTCCCCACTAGCAAGAAGGTCCTCATTGGATGCAGCCCCTAAACATTGGACTTCCCGACATGTATAAATTACCCAGTCTCAGGTATTCAGTTACAGCAAAAGAAAACCGACTAACACAGGCCCAATCTCTTGTAGAATTATGTAGACACCTGTTGGACCAGTCATGTGGACAGGAGAGATACTGAGATACCTATGCCATGACCTACCTTTTACAACCAAGGCAGGCAAGGTGCGTGACTGTCTACCACAACCATGTGGGATGGCAGAAGCCCCCCAAGGGGCAGAATTCCAGGCAGACAGACTACCCTTATCCTCATAAGGACTCTAGAGTATTTCTTCTGGGATGGAGTTGCCTTTTTCTTTACCTTCTGGGACCTCTTTTTTTCTTTTTTTTAAACTGGGATCTCTCACTTTGTTTAGAAAGCATTTTGAATACCTTTAGCAGATTAAAGAAGCCATTCAGTTATGAATGCATTGACACAACACTATTCAGAAGGACATTTGCCCTAAAACCAAATTATTAAATTGATAACATATTTTAGTCATCAAGTGGCATATGCTAAGCAGACATCTTCCCTTCCCTTCTGAGCCCCACCCCAATGCCAGCTCTCACCTCTGGAAATCAAGGATGATTGGCAGTGGAGAGTGAATCAGAGGCATAGTTCAAACCAAGAATGGAGTCAAAGTCAACAGTCCAGTGAAGCTCGGGGTAGGGTGAACATCCGAGTAAGTAAGCATTGAGTATGTCTTTCATAACCTGCCTGGTAATTTTTTTTAAAACAGTGATTTTGTACTTTGACTCGATTCTAACAAAATGTCTCCCATATCAAAATGTTCCTTTTATCAAATTGGGTTTCCCAAGCTAAGCTTCTTTGAGGCATAGTTGGACTAAGACTCACATAGCTGACTCCTAGGCCACTACGTTTATCAGATAGGGCACAGTCTCCTGGCAGAGGGGTCCCTGGCACAGGCAAGACAGATTCCAGGCCCAGATTCTGCTGTTATTTGTCTCCCATGGGTTGCTGCCTGAGCAGTTGTTAGATGGAGGAGATGCTCCACCCAGCCTTTGTCTCACTCTTCACACCCCCTTCCTCTCCCTTCTGCATTGCAGATCTGAAGTGGCAAGGGTGACCTGACTGCCTGTGTCCCCAGTCCCCAATCCCAGGCCTTGCCACTGTCTTTGCCTCCTTGTCTTCAATAAATAAAGGTGAGGCCCAAGAGATACCCTCACCTTCTTGCTCTCCACAGTTCAAAACTCAGGAGCTGCAGAGCCTGTAGGACGTCCTCTGAGCTCTTTTAGGTGGCTGGGAAGAGAGCTAGGGCACAGCCCTTGGATCCTTGGACCCTTCATGTAAACAAGGAGATGACCTCTCCCAGGGAGCTGTCCTTGGCACTTTAGGATCTCAGCCTTGAGTAGCTACTTTTCTTTTGTTTTTGTTTTGATTTATCTTGGGCTTTCCCCTACTTCTGTTTACTCTCACACCCCCTATTTCCTTGCTCTTTGGGAAACAGACTGTCTTAGTCTGTTTGGATTGCCGTAACATGACACCGGGTAGCTTAAACAACAGACTTTTATTTCTCCTAGTTCTGGAGACTGGGAAGTTCATGATCAAGGTGCCGGCTGATGAAGCTTCTGGTGAGTTGCCCTCTTCCTGGCTTGCAGATGACTGCCTTCTTGCTATGGCCTCACACAGCAGAGAGAGAATGAGCTCTGGTCTTTCTTCCTCTTCTTATAAGGACATTAATCCCATCATAGAGTCCCCAGCCTGATGATCTCATCCAAACCTAATCACCCCCCAAAGGCCCCACCTCTGAATACTATCACATTAGGCATTATGGCTTCAACCTATACATTTCAGGGGAACACATTGAGTCATAATAGATGCTTATTGTAGAAATTTTTGAAAAATACAAAAATATGAAACAAAAGAAAACCACAAACTATCCTGACAACCAAAGAAAAGCACAAATGCCATCCTATCATCCAAAGAAACTTCCAGCATACTTTCAAATCTTTTTAAGCACTTACTTTTAAAAAGATACATCATATATAGGCTGGGCACAGTGGCTCATGCCTGTAATCCCAGCACTTTGGGAGGCTGAGGCAGGTGGATCATTTGAGGTCAGGAGTTCAAGAGCAGCCTGGCCAACATGGTGAAATCCCATCTCTACAAAAATACAAAAATTATCTGGGCATGGTGGCGGGCATCTGTAATCCCAGCTACTCCGGCAGGCTGGGCAGGAAATTACTTGAACCTGGGAAGGCAGAGGTTGCAGTGAGCCAAGACAGTGCCACTGCACTCTAGCCTGGGCAACAAAGTGAGACTCCAGGTCAAAATATTATATATATATGTGTGTCTGTGGTGTGTGTGTGTGTGTGTGTGTACCCCATGAGCATTTTTCCATATTAAAACAATCTTTTTTTTTTTTTTTGAGACAGAGTCTTGCTCTGTCACCCAGGCTGGAGTGCAGTGGCGTGATCTCCACTCACTGCAAGCTCTGCCTCCTGTGGGTTCACGCCATTCTCCTGCCTCAGCCTCCCGAGTAGCTGGGACTACAGGTGCCCGCCACCATGTCCGGCTATTTTTTTGTATTTTTAGTAGAGACGGGGTTTCACCACCGTGTTACGCCAGGATGGTCTCGATCTCCTGACCTCGTGATCTGCCCTGCCTCGGCTTCCAAAAGTGCTGGGATTACAGGCTTGAGCCACAGCACTGCCTTAAACAATCTTTATAAATATTCTTTTTTTTTTTTTTTTTTTGAGACAGAGTCTCCTCTGTCACCCAGGCTGGAGTGCATGGCCGGGATCTCAGCTCACTGCAAGCTCCGCCTCCCAGGTTTATGCCATTCTCCTGCCTCAGCCCTCCTGAGTAGCTGGGACTAAGGCGCCCGCCAACATGCCCGGCTAGTTTTTTGTGTTTTTTAGTAGAGACGGGGTTTCACCGTGTTAGCCAGGATGGTCTCAATCTCCTGACCTCATGATCTGCCCGTCTTGGCCTCCCAAAGTGCTGGGATTACAGGCGTGAGCCACCGCACCCGGCCTATAAATATTTTTAATGTTCACATATTCACCATTTATATGACTAAATTTCTTACTCTATAACTGTAACATAATTTATGTAACCAACTTCCCAATGTTGGATGCTGAGGTTATTTTTATTTTTTTCCTGTAAAAGTTAACATTATTATTTGTAATGGAACTGTTCTCTGTTATGACTATGAGGGGGTGGTTCCACAAATCTACATGTGATAAAATGTGGTTGAACTAAATACACACACACACACACACACACAAATGCATACTTGTACAGTGGTGAAATCTGAATAAGGTGGGTGGATTATATGAATGTCAATTATCTGATTGTTATCATGAAGATGTCACATTTGAGGAAAACTGGGTGAAGGGTATATGGGATCTCCCAATATTATTTCTTACAACTGCATGTTAATCTACAAATTAATTCAAAGTAAAAAGTTTTGGCCATGTGCTGTGGCTCATACCTATAATTTCAGCACTTTGGGATGCCAAGGCAGGAGGATTGCTTAAGCCCAGGAGTTTGAGACCAGCCTGGGCAACACAGTAAGACCCCATCTCTACAAAAAATTTAAAAATTAGCTGGGCATGGTGGCATGGGCGTGTGGTCCCAGCCAGGACCCATCTACTCAGAGGGCTGAAATGGAAGGATTGCTTGAGCCCCGGAGGTCGAGGCTGCAGTGTACTGTGATCATGCCACTGAGCTCCAGCCTGGACAACAAAGCAAGACCCTGTCTCAAAAATAATAAAAATAGGCCGGGCAAGGTGGCTCACGCCTGTAATCCTAGCACTTTGAGAGACTGAGACAGGCAGATCACTTGAGGTCAGGAGTTCGAGACCAGCCTGGCCAACATGGCAAAACCCTGTCTCTACTAAAAATACAAAAATTATCCAAATGTGGTAGTGCACACCTATAATCCCAGCTACTCAGGAGGCTGAGGCAGGAGAATCGCTTGAACCCAGGAGGCGGAGGTTGCAGTGAGCCGAGATCAAGCCATTGCACTCCAGCCTGGGCAAAAGAGAGAGGCCTTGTCTCAAAACAAACAAACAAATAATAATAATAGGTGCTTAAAAACCACTACACTGGACATCTTTTGTAAGTACATGTGTACTTCTGAACTTCTAGTTTTTCCTTTGGGTAGATTCCTATGAGAGAAATTACTCATAAGAAAATTCAATAAGAAGTAAGAGCTCTCAATCTCAGCACATTAGGGTTTCCTGGCCATCACCCAAGGAGCTTTGCAGGCATAGAAAACTGATATGCATGCTGCCGAGGAAGAGAGCTTAGACATACTCACAGAGTTTTCCACAAACCTGGAGTGCCGGCCGACTAACGTACAATGAGAAATGTAAGCAGAGGGTCCAGGACTCCTGCCCCTAGCCTGAGTTTCCTCTCCCTATAGCCCTTCACAGGCAAAGCCACATTCTAATTGGAAGATTGACTTGTGATGTGAAACAAGGGAAATTAAGTGACACGATCCCGGTGTTAAAGATACCAGGGTAAGCCCTGCTGTGCACATCTCCATAGCAGGACTTAAACCACTGCCACCAGAGACAGGCACGTGGGTTCTCAGGCAGGGCACCCCTCCTTAGCACTGCTTGAATGGGGACAGCCTATATTTGCCTCTGTAACACTATTTCTGGGCTTCCGAGGTTTGCTAACCTGTGTTCCATCAGTGCATTGCTCCTTTAGGTGTGTGAAGATGTTCCAATGAGTTACAGATCAATCTTGTTGGCCTGGAAGCTGGTCTGTCTCATGGCACTTGTTCTTCTTTTTTTGAGATGGAGTCTCGTTGTGTCGCCCAGGCTGCAGTGCAGTGGTGTGATCTTAGCTCACTGCGACCTCTGCCTCCCAGGTTCAAGTGATTCTTCTGCCTCAGCCTCCCTAGTAGCTGGGATTACAGGCACATGCCACCACGCCTTGCTAATTTTTGTATTTTTGTAGAGATGGGGTCTCTCCATGTTGGCCAGACTGGTCTTGAACTCCTGAGCTCAAGTGATCCACATCATGCCTTGGCCTCCCAAAGTGCTGGGATTACAGGCGGGAGCCACTGTGCCTGGCCCAGCACTTGTTCTTAACCCCTAGTTCAGTAGACCTCTGCAGGGCTCTTCCTCTGGTATTGTATGCAAAATTTTGAATATATGATCAAATGTGTATTTTCTGGAGAGACAGAAAATAGTGTTTACTACATTTTCAGAAAAGGGTCTCAATTTAATAGTGAACATCGTGTGAGCATTAAACTACATGCATTAATTACCTCATTTAATCCCCACTGAAGTCAAGAATCTTGCCCCAAGTTACCAGTTTGGACAAGTTAAAGAATACTGCTTTAAAGTGGCTTTGGGCCTGGCATGGTAGCTCACGTCTATAATCCCAGAACTTTAAGAGGGTGAGGCAGGAGGATTGCTTGAGCTCAGGAGTTTGAGGCAATGTGCTAAAACCTGTCTTTACAAAAAATTTTAAAAATCAGTTGGGGGTGGTGCCACGCCTGTAGTCCCAGCTACTTGGGAGGCTGAGGTAGGAGGATAGCTTGAGCCTGGGTGGTCGAGGCTGTAGTGCGCTGTAATCATGCCACTGCACTCCAGCCTGGGCAACGGAGTGAGACCCTGCCTCAAAAATAATAAATGAATGAACAAATAAAGTGATTTGTAAATTTGTTCTCTGGTATAGTCGATGTTTGTACTAAGGGGAGTCTTATTTCCCTTTTATCTTCCTAGATGAAGAAAAAAAAATTATTGGTGGCAAGCACACAACCCATGCCAAACAGAGCTGTGGAATGGCTTTGTTGCTGCCTCCCAGAGGCTAAACTCCGCTGTCTGTGCCAGCATCTCTAGTTACCTGCTTTCTCTTGCTCACAGGTCTGTGTATGCACTCAGACTAACCTGTGAACTGGCACCTTGTGCCTGCATCTCACTGACTTTGGCAGCTTGGATGCCGTCTTCTCCTATAAATGCCCTTCCTCCAAAAAGCAGCCCTGCTGCCTGTTTACTCTCTTTCACTGTATCAGAGTCTAGAACCTGCAGGTTTTCTAAAAGATCATTGCGTTGCTGTTTATCAAAAGCGGCATGCGTTTCCATCAGCTTTCCAACAGAAAATCAGGCGAGAGGCTATTCAACTTATTCACTGAATATTCACTAATTTTCCAGACATTCTTCTAGGTACCAGGGATACTGGCAAAAAACATTTACCCTAATGGAGCCTGGGTTCTAGGGGACGAAAACAGACAATAAGCAAATAAATGAATAAATGAATATTCAGTGAATAAGTGAATGTTGAAGAACCTCTCTCCTGATTTTCTGCTGGAAAGCTGACAGAAATACATGCCGCCTTTGACAAAAAGCAATGCAGTGATCCCTTAAAAAATCCGCAGGTTCTGCCAGGCATGGTGGCTCACGCCTGTAATCCTAGCACTTTGGGAGGCCGAGGTGGGTGGATCACATGGTCAGGAGTTTGACACCAGCCTGGCCATGGCGAAACCCCGTCTCTACTAAAAATACAAAGATTAGCTGGGCTTGGTGGCATGCGCCTGTAATCCCAGCTACTCGGGAGGCTGAGACAGGAGGATCACTTGAACCCTGGAGGCAGAGGTTGCAGTGAGCAG